GAGAGATGTGTTCCCGCATGGACAAGATGATCGACTTGCAATCCAAAGTCCAGGTGGAGCTCTCTACCCTAGTGGATGCCAGCGGCCCGGACTGGACTGCACAGATGTCCACCACTATGCAAGAGCTCCAGACCTCCCTGGCCAGTGCTGTGGACTCACGGATGGAACTGGCGAGTCAACTTCATGCGATCATGAACCACGTGAAGCAAGCCTGCTCTCTGGTCACCAACTTTCGCAACGAGGCTATGCCATCCTTGCATCAGGTGCAAGGCATTGGCAACACGCAATGGGGTCAAGCCGATGTCCTCAATGCGATCCAGGACATCACGGGCTCGATCGATGAGAAGATGAAGCGCCACGGGGAGTGCAACAAAGCCATACAGGCCCAGTTGGAGAAGATCGCCGCTCGTTTGACCCCACCGATGCCTACCAAAGCCCCGCCGCCTCCCACGCCGGGTTCAACGACTACAACCGCACCGACTACGGCACCCTCTGGACCGACGTCTTCGCAGCCTGCATCGACCCCGGCATCTAGTGCCGCACCGCCGCCAACACCGGCGACTGCGCCTCAGGCTTTCGCCCCCGGGCAGACGGCTACAGACCAGGCCTCGACTGCCCCGATCCTACGCTTGCACGAGTCTATGCCGGCACGCCAACCTGTTCAGCTGTCCAACCTGCTGAGCAGTCCCCCTGGATGGCGCATGGGCCCGCAGACCTACCTCGACCCTCGCGCCCAAGACGCTCTGAACCTTATGGCTAGTCTCCTAGGAGGTGCGATGCAGTACCCACCACAGTAAAGTAGCGACCGGGCTATCGGACCAAGCACGCCTTCCCTTCTTTGCTTAGTGGTTTCTTTGGTTTCCTCTTGACTTAGGTTCGTTTTGGTTTCATGTCTTCAGAACTGGCATTTGCTTGGGCTCCGAGCCTCAGCATGCATGTGCACTTTGCATTCCACTTAATTCGTACTTCGTAATTGATAATTCGTAATGACAGTGGCGGCAGACTCCTGCATGTGCTGTGACAAACGAAGGATGCGCGCTCTTCCTCTCAAGCCCTGAGTCCTCAAGGCCCCTGATCACTGCAACATTTCCATCCTGCATACTGCTAGGTCTGAACACTGCGAGTCCCACAACTCTCCTATTCACCCGAACCCCCCCCCAAAAAAAAAAAAAAAAAAAAAAAAAAAAAAAAAAAAAAAAAAAAAAAAAAAAAAAAAAAAAAAAAAAAAAAAAAAAAAAAAAAAAAAAAAAAAAAAAAAAAAAAAACCGACCCGAACCAACTCGCTTCCTTACCTAGCTCCAAGCCCACTTCCTCCCCTGAACTTTCCGCCCGACGCAGCCCCGGCTCAGTCTCTATAGCTCCTGACTCCATACTTGCTCATGGAACCTTTTGCTGAAACCCAAGAGGACTCGGCGACTTCCCCCCCTCCCGATCCCCTTTCAGCAAGCACCCTAGACCGAACCTCCCAGGACGCTAACGAGCCTACCGCCTCGACCACTGAGGTACGACTCTTTCGGGATGCCACCCGAGTTGATTCGCCCAGAGACAGGGAGCCGGATTCCCCACTTCCCCGTAAAAAACAAAAGCATCTGAAGCTCAAAGCCAACGACCCCGAAACCCCAGATGACATAGACTTTGCCCCCACCAACAAGTCCCTCGAAGCCCTCTCCGAAAGCTTTCTTATGAACGTCGGCACCCTGGACTTGGAGGACCGCTGCTTGGCCATGGCTCGCCTTTCGGAGGAAGTACCTAAGAAATTCTGGGATCTAGATGAGGGTGAAAACAGGTTCTTGCTTTTGGGACAAACCACCCGACTTGCTAACGCGCTCACACGCCTCACGGATTCGCATCCTGGTTTTACACAAGCTGTTTGTGCCTTTATTCGCTCGATTCAGCCCGAGGAGACCCCTTTTACCTCCGCCTCCATTCGCCTAGGCCCTGGTAAGCCCTGCCATACGGACGATCGTAATTCATGGGCTCCTTCGCTGGTCATTGGACTCTCTCATTTTACCAAAGGACGAGTCTGGATCGAGAACCCCACAGGCACAGTAGAGGGATGGAAACCTGGAAGTGAGGACGTCCGACTAGGTAGCTTTGTCAATATCCTGCACAAGCCTTGCCTTTTCAGCTCCCGTACCCTCCTACATGGTACCGAACTTTGGCACGGTGAAGAACGTCGAATCCTCACAGCTTGGGCCCCGCAGATTGCCGCTAGCAACCATCTGTATTTCAACACTACCCTCGCGCTGATGGGCTTTCGACCCCCTACCTCTCCGCAAGCATTGAACAGGTACCGCCTTTCAATTTACTATGGGGAGTATGCTGTCAAGCAAACCAAGCTCCCCGATGCCTTTTGCAGGGAACGCGCGCAGGACTTCACACACTCGACCCAGGAACCTGTCCTCGAGGTCTCCGATGGTGAGGAGGAAGAGGTCTCCATTCCGGAGATCGTCTTCCCATAAGCGGGCTTCTGGGCTCTGCGAGGGGTGTAAGATCCCTCACTCGCCCCCCTGTTCTGGTTTTCCTTAACTGAGCCCCCGCCGTTGCGTTTTTCTGCATAACATACAACATCCTTACTTCGCGTCGTTCGTGGAAAATTCGTCTTATCTAAAAAAAAAAAAAAAAAAAAAAAAAAAAAAAAAAAAAAAAAAAAAAAAAAAAAAAAAAAAAAAAAAAAAAAAAAAAAAAAAAAAAAAAAACAACACGCACATAGCGAGCTGGCACTCTCTACACTCCTGCTCTTCCTCTTATCACTTCCCTCATTGACTCTCCTCCTCTTCACAATCATTTCGCTCTACTTGGTCAGTTAGCCGATACTGCAATGGATGCGCTCGCCATGGCATCGCCTCTGGCACGATCTCTGACTGCAGATACTGGGAAGATTTTGCTGGCTCCCGTCTGAACACCTATGCTGGACTGCCTAGCTGGAAGGCCGGAGATTACCCGCAGCGGGTCGAACGCTGCCAAGACACTTCCCAGACACCTGGGTCTGCAGTTTACCATGGTGAGAACCGATGACGTGGCCACAATTCGCTCCTATGGGCAAGCGATCGTTTCGTTTGGAACATTCTGGCATTGCCTGGTCTCCGCTCTTACCTCTGACGAGCCACAGCCTGAATGGCTGTGAATCTTCTGCGTGCAAGCGGAGCTTCTTTCGACTCTGCCAGTGCAACAGACATCGGCCCAGTGAGCCTGGTGGCAATACTGATCTCCCTCGGGAGAGAAAGTGGGTGACTCAGATACGCGTGCTAGTGCAGACGCTGGCTCACAATAGTGACTGCCGACTCTTTCACAGCCAAATGGGCACGGCCTTCCCGTGCCTGCCGGATACTCTGGATGGACTGTTACTGGCGAACAAAGTTTGCACGTTCACGTACACATGCAGGTGGCCCGACATACTCAGGATGGCAGCTGACAGTAATGCTTCAGGTGGCTGCTCAGGGATGGGATTCCCCGCCGTTTCCCTGCTGTCGTGCACGGTGGCTCAACCACCCACCTGGGTCTCGGCACATGTGGACGAGTGAGCAACAGTGACTGAGTGAGCGGTGTACAGCACTAGGTACCTAACGTGGCAGATCATCCTACAGTCAAGCCACATAGCTGCATCCTAATTGGCCTTTGAACTGCCGTCTGCAATTAATAATTGGGCATCGAATGTGAATTATCCTAGTGAGTACTTTGTGTGTTTGTCTTCCATTTTTCTTCCTTACACTGTTCAGCTTTATATTTCGCGAACGTGCCCGTGCATGAGCATGTAACTACTGTGGCTCTCATTTCAACTTTGTACACAGCGATGCCCTCTCCAGGATCCTGCAAGCCATACCGGGGCAACTATGGGGTTGTTGGGGCTACCGTGGCTTGCTTTCTTGGTGAGCGCTAGGTTTCTGAGGCTCGGCGACGATACGTGTGCCCTTTTCTGTACGGTTGCCATTTGCTCCTGGGCCTTTCGAAGTGGCACACGTATTCTCCCCAGGGCCCCTCTCTCAAGTCTTCGAGTTCTGACGAGTTCCCTGCGGTGCGACTTGTTTCAGCTGGGCGGGTGGCAAAAAATGGTGTCAATGTGCAGATGCTGTTGTTTCACTCCACGAGCTTTCGCTTCGCGGCAGACTACGTCAGCTATTTTCATCGAAGTCGCATCAAATGATTCAAATGTGAAGTCTTCGCAGCACCACCTGCAGAATGCCCGTGCTTGATCAAATCCGACACATCGTGAGAGCTCACGTCCCTTCCGACCATCCGATCTACTGAAGATAGTGCCTCCCGCTCTTTGCCCTCTCCGACCTTGCTCTACTCGTTCTGGCTCTTGCTCTTTCACTCACTCTCTGTCCCGCTCTTTCTGTCGTTGTTCCCTCTGCAGATGTTACCGTCCGCTCAACCACGTCCACAAAACAACAGGCCATACTGGCCTGTTCAACTGAACCCACCGCCCCCTCTGATCCTCCAAGCCCATCGTATGCACAAGCAGCGAATGCATGCCGATTAAGCTGGCCAAGTGCACCCCGACACTGTTTGGACAAGAACGGCAATCTCACGAGGCTAAGGCAGGATGATGCGGGTGCCTGTCATTTCCCATTCAGTAGGCAGGACAACGAATGATCGTTGCCTTGTCGGATAAGAAGACATGGTAATTGTAGAGTTCACTACGCAAATGCATGGAGGATGGCTTGGTTGTGGAAACGAAGGGTGATGGCTTTACGAATTGCGCAGCACGGCTACGCTGAGCAGGTTTTCGTGAGGGCTGTCTGCAATCCCGGACGAGCACACAAGTTCTGAGACGGTCGTTACAAGTGTCCATGGTTGAAGCGACGAGCCGCACGTGCGCGCTGAGGCGTTTAGCACTGCACCATGCTTGATTGTAGATCTGGTGGTAGGCATGGGGTCTCTCTGAATACAGGCTTGGTACCTGGGGTAGTCATTATGACCGATTGTTGGTTTGCGAGACCTTGAGACCTTGAGACTTTCTACTTCCCCAAGCCAAGACTGGATTCGTTGCATCACAGGTCCGGCAAGGAGACCCAAGATGACGGCAATCTTTCAGATGCTCCACCGCAGTGACGCTGCCACCGTTTCGCACAGCATCCTTCTTTCTGCATCGTCACGTTGGCTTAGGAAACTCCCGACAAAGAGTACCGACCCCAGACGGGCGAGGTGTGCTTGCATGATAGACTGTCAGTGCTTCTGTGCGGACTGTAGGGCTTGCGTACAGCGTGTACGCAGCGTGTGCATTGTGTGCATTGCTACGTCTAGAAAGCAGCCGGCCACTCATGGGCTGGCAGCTTCCCAAAACGCTGTGTACCGAGGTTTGGGTTCTTGCACAGTCACACATTCGGCGGCAGTCAAGCGGCGACCGCGACGACAGAGGAACGCTCACGCCACAGCGAGCTTACAGGATCGGAATGCTTCTCCCAGCCACATTGCCGACTGCCTTTTCATTGCCTTTTCATCAGCTTCCTGTCTCCGGCAGCAGGCACTGGCGGCGCGGCCAGTAGCACATGTCCATCGGCAACTGCTGGATCCAGCGCGGGTGTTCTCAGCGTGCATGGTCGCAAGCTCCTCTGGACTCTTACAGGAAGGGACTGCCGCAGCCTTGGCCGTCGCAGCGTCGCCCAGCAAACTGTCAGAATCCCGCGGCCGGCAGGCATGTTGTCAATCTACAGCTTCGCTTCCGAATGTCTCGTAGTGTTTCTTGCGTGATCCGAGAATCGAGCAACCATGTCGCCCATGATTGTGTTGGCCCAGAGGTCAAAGCTGCAATGATCTCTTCGTGCTGGACGAGTGGCCTCAGGGCGAAGGTCCGTCACCAAGGGCAGCATGGGAAGCTGATCGGGCTGACTAGGCTCGGAATGTTCGGCACAAGGGTTGTGTGATGAAAAATCATTGATGTCCATAGCTGCGCGTAAATTTTGGGGCGCAGCGCGTGACGACGTGACAACGTGAGTTTTGCCACGACGACGTGAAGCGCGTGAAGCGCGTGACGACGTTAACGGCGTCAACGGCGTCACCGGCGTCAGCGGCGTCAGTGGCGTCAACGGCGTCGACGACGTTGACGACGTTAACGGTTCAGCGGCGTCAACCGCGTCAACGGCGTCGACGACGTTGACGACGTTAACGGCGTCAGCGGCGTCAACGGAGTCAACAGCGTCAGCGGTGTCAACGGCGTCAACGGCGTCGACGTCGTCAGCGGCGTGTATAGTGCTGGTAATGTGGAGAGCATGCACATGTTTATATCTCAAGACAGTAACAATACCACATAAAACAACAGGGCCCTGCCCACAGTGCAAATTTTAACCTACATCCAGGTCCCGTGATGGTGGCTGACTGTGAGCTCGATGGGACAATTTTCGTTCACACTGACGTTGTTTCCGTAATTTGTGGCCTGGTATTGGTCTGTTTCGTCCACACATCATCAAGTCATATGTCGAGACGTTGTGTTATTCTAGCATATCACACCAAATGAGCTCTGCAAAGCTCTGGTCGGGGCTAGAACCCTCACCTTCCAACTCCAAGCCCTTATCTTCGGGGTCCGAATTACCGAAGAATTGGTTTTGAGTAACTTGTACAAAAGCATCCCCTGCAGTCAACTCAAAAGGATTCTGTACCCCAGAGCTCTATTCAGTAAGGCGCCTACATTTGGGTACTTGGGCTTCGGATACATGTACGGGTAGTTTAGTAAAACCCTGCCAGGACCACCCTACAGTATTCGCCAATAGAGCACCTGGACCGTGCGAGCGGGAATACTATTCTGGGGGTTCCTTATAGTATAATGGGCACCAAAAACCAATTCTAATGATTTAGAACGTTACTATAGATCCCTTATGACCGTGCATAAAAACCCTTTAAAGGAACCCTCTTCTAATTATTAAGGCCCCTATAGTATTCACACCTCAGGGTTGGTGGGGCAGCCTCCTGAGGATGAACAGCCCCAATATAATTTCTACGGGGCGGGGGTTAGGGATTAGGGTTCAGAAATTAAGGATTAGTGTTTAGTTTTTTTTAGGGTTTAAGGATTATAGGGTTTAGGGGACGACGTGACGATGTGGGTTTGACGCGACGACGTGACGACGTGAAGCGCGTGACGACATTAACGGCGTCAGAGGCGTCGACGACGTTGACGACGTTAACGACGTCAACGGCGTCAGCGGCGTCAACGGCGTTGACGACGTTAACGTCGTCAGCGGCGTCAACGGCGTGCGGCGTCAACGGCGTCAACGTCGTCAGCGTATTGTTGGGTTCACAGCGTCAACACCGTCAACCAAGATTACGTATTGGCTATGGACATCACCGTGAAAGTTTGAGACTGCATAACGTGTACCGGAGGCCTCATGATCGGGATTCCGGCTGTTCATGGCTCAAGGAAAGAGGGGCAGCTGCTGTAGCACAGACACGCGGCGACGGCCGAAAACGAATCGAGAGCTGCAGCAGATTGCCCGTGCTTGGCACAGGCAGGGCAGCGCAGCCTGCAGCGATGAGCGAGCAATCAGGCCAATGTGCAAAGCCGACCGAAAGCTGTTGGCAAAGCAACTCCGCAAACAACTTCCGAGGAGCCGGAGCAAGCTCCACAAAGAGATCAAACAAGCGAAGTCCTGGAAGCATGCCTTGCATCTCCTTCACACTCAGAACCGTCGAGGCGTCCTAGCATGTACTGCGGCTTTGAGCAAATGCAGCTACTGCTGGAAACATGCCCTGCTTTTGTTGGCGGATTTTGCCCCATATGCCGTGGAGAGAAACACCGTGACGTTCAACGCGGCCACCAGTGCATGCAGCAAGGGCCGCTGTTGGCAAGGTGCCCTGTACCTGCACGAGGAACTACAAACGAGTGCACTTGAGGCCGACACGATTTCTCACAACGCTGTCGTGAGCGCTTCAGACATGTTCTCCCAGTGGAAGCGTGCTGCGGCGAGTTTAGTGTGGATGAAAAGGGGTACAGTTGTTCTCGAATCCCGGCCGCTAGGAAACCTGTTGTTTCGGCTGCCTAGCTGAGTCCTAGCTGCTGAGCCTGTCATGAACACACCCATCCTGAGGACAGCATCACTTTCAACTCCGCGATCTCTGCGTTGGAGAAGGGTGCTCAATGGCGTGCAGCCCTCCTACCCTTAACGAGCATGTTGTGGCACGCTTGCCGGCCTAGTGCCTGTCCCCTAGATTTCTTTGTGTGTGTGTTAGTGTGTTAATGTTTTTTTCTATGTGTGTGCGCTTGTCAATCTCAAGGAGTTGCTTTGATTTCTTCAAGGTGTCGAGGCTGTCAGCATCCTTTCGTTTTTAGCTTGTGGTCCCCGAAGTGTAAGGTCGTGACCTACGGCGCGGCCGTGAGTTCTTGCTCCCAAGCAGAGAGTTGGTTCGGGGCCTGGCAGCTCCTGGGGCAGATGACAGGCAGCCAGCTGCAGCTCTCCATCGTCGCCTGTGGTGCTGCAGTGAGTGCTTGTGAGAAAGCGGGGGCCCGCTCCTGGACGACGGCCCTCGGGTTGGTTGCACAGATGGATCGCCGGAGCTTGTCCTCCAACATCATATCTCAAAGTGCTCTGGTCAGCGCCTGTCAGAAGAGTGCCCGCTGGCAGCGTGCGGCACTGCTCCTGTCTGGGGCACAAGTCAATGTGGTTCAAGCAGACCGGCCCATGCACAATGCCTTGATTTCCGCATGCGCCAGAGATAACCAATGGGTCGGAGTACTAAGTTTGCTCGACGCTTTGCCATATCTGCCTTTGCCGCCGAATGTCGCGACATGCAACTCTGTCCTTGCAGCTTTTGAGGGTGGAGGCTGGCAAGAAGCATCAGGCATCCTTGCCCGCATGAAGTCTCTGGAACTGAAGCAAGACGTGATAACGCACACTTCTGTTTCCAGCATCTTGGAGAAAGTTGTACAATGGCGGCGCTCCCTGCACGAACTCTTCATCCAGCGAGTAAGTCCCGCCCAAGAGAACAGCCACGAGAGCTTGAACCTGCTCAATATGAACTCGGTCATCAGTGCTTGTGCACGTGCACAGAATTGGCGGATGGCTGCTTGGAGGCATTTGGATAGGTGCTAGGTGTTCAATCACGAGTAATCTCTCGAGATGGCAACGTAAGGTCACATCGATGATGGGCCACTTGCAGCATGAGCGGCTTGAGCCGGACCTGGTGACATGCAACGCAGCCATCACCGCCGTTGAACGACGCTACGATAAGGCCACAGAGATCTTTGATCAAGCCATATTGCGCAGTTTGCAGCCCAACGAGATCACATGCAACGCCCTGCTGACGTCATGTGCCATCGGGCACTCCTGGCAGGCAGCACTGAAGCTGTATGCGTGGATGCTGAGTTCTGCCCTGGAGACAAACATCATCTCTTTTGACATGGCTTTGTTGTCGTGCTGCGCTGGGAGTCAGCCCAAGCTGGCCCTGAACGTCTTAAACTCCGTGCAGCAGCAGTACTCAAGTCTGCTGCGGTCTTGGGAGTGGTATCCTAGGACCTAGGACCTAGCCTTCTGTCTGTTTATGCTGCTTGCCTCTGCTTCTGAGCCCGCCACTCATTGTGTCCGCGAAGGTCTTTTTCAGTTTCACACCGCAGTGTCACCAGCCAAGTTGGGGATGGCGTGCATGCTTTCAGCTGGTAGGTATCCATGAACATGCAAGCTTCAAGCTCTCGTTCCACTTTGACCCCTCGGGTGTCTCTCCAGGTGTCGAAAGCCAGCCATTTGTGGTTGCAGGACGCGGGGTTCGGCCAACCTGTCAACACGTTTCTCCCAGCCTTGGGGAGGCTTGTCTTCGAGGTAGATGTGGCCTGAAAACCACAAAGAGCAATGATTCCTGCCAGGAGTGGTCTTAAGATTGGTCTTTTTCCCTGCCGGCTCTGCTTTGACCGGAGATGGCGACTGCGCTGTCGGGCTGCTCTCCGAGGACACCTGTTGCACAGCTATCAAGGTTATAGCATCGAGCGCAATCGAAACTCGGCGACCAACGTTTGCAACGGTTTGCAGGCCATATACTAGGCACCGAGTGGAAACTCAACAGAAGAGTGCTAGACGCAAGGCTCTGACGCTGGTGGCTGAGATTAGCTGCTACTTGGGTCATGTGTTAAGGCGTGCCGCATGCCAAAAGGCATACCACTTGTGACTTCTTGCGGGCCTTCTTTTTTGCAGCGTGTCAATGCGGTGTTGTGCCTTTTCCTACTTGGCATGCCTTAACACGCCGCCCAAGTAGCCATGGAACGGCACAATCAGATAATCCCACTTCGTATAAAGGATGTGATCTCATCATCCAGTGGCAGGAGAACACGAGGCGTAGATCCACTGCGTGATGGTGAAGTAGGATCCGCCTTGCCAAGGCAAAACCGTGAAAAGCTTAATTCCGCGAGACAGATGCATGTTGTGAGCAGCCTTGCAGAGTCCAAGCGCGAGATTGACAACTGCAAACCCCAGACTGCGACTGCAAACAGTGATCCTCTTTTGCGTCTCCGAGCGTCAGAGTGTGAACTCTAAACAGCCTCAAACAGCGACTGTAGTCTGTTGTCCATACGTGCCAACGTTCCGCATGTTGTACTGCGCAGACAGACGCCTCGCCCGGATTGCCCAAGCTGTGTGAGTCGAAGCTGACATACTGTTTCTCAGTCAATTTCGCATGCCTAGTTGCCCATGCAGCTTCCTGAAACGTTGGCTGCTTGAGCCCACAGGCAGTGTCGCCAACAGGACCCCAGCCTGTTGAAACGGAATCGTGAAATGCTGAGGCCCGTTTCCGACAAGCGGGCTATCCTAGAGTCTCGCTCGAAAGTCACAGCCTTCTTCAAAGCTTTTTGTTCTGCACGTCTCCATCCTCAAAGTACCGCGGACGCATAGGTCGGGGGACACAGGTCAACATCCGTTGGGCTCACCAACCCGTGCCAGTCTTGCAACCAAAATCTGCTTGTTCTATTGACGGCATTCTTGAGGACATGCATACTCGGAGGCTTCGGTCTTTTCGCAACTCTTAAAACAAGATCCTAGCAGCTCCGAGAATTCGCTTCAAGGGTCTCTGGGCATGGGACCTCTTGCCGTGAGGCTCCCATGTCTTGTAGCTACCAGACAAGCCAAGCACTCTGCTGATGGCCGACTTGGCCATGCGGCCTGGGGAAGCCGGCAGAACTACATACAACATCGAGTCAAGGATTTCTGTGGTCTGCTCACAGACGCCTCGTGAGAGTTCAGAGCACGCAGCCACACATCAGCTGTCAGTCAACTTAGCGCGGCATCGATTGGCTTCGCACAATTTTTCTCGGTAATAATTACGCAAGAGCAAGTGGCACTCTGCTCTGATGCAGATGTGCAGGACAAGGCTAAGTTGAAGTTCGAGCTCTTCCTGAACGATCGGCGGAGTGGCACAAAAGTGATGCTCGGGCAGAAGTTCAGCGCCTTGGATGTATTGGGGCCAATCGGAAAGCAGAGCATGCTCAATGTCACCACAAGAGCGTTTTTTGTCGGAGGTGATTAAGACAAGTTTAGTGGCACGCCAGCCTGACATGCAGCTGTTGCTGTCCTGCGATCTTCCTGGTTTTGTTGCTCGAAGCCGAGGTTGCGACTTTCGAAGCTTGGCTCGGCAACAGGGAAGCAGTTGTACGCAGCACCAACTGGCAGCTTCTCCCAGCCGATCGAAGGAAAGCCTGATTTCTCAAGCGAGACAGACACGATCACGGTGGGGCTTGAAGTTTACAGCAACCTGAAGCTTGGATTGCGTTATAGATGAAACCCTTGATACCTGTGCTCACGCGGAGACCGCAGACAGTTCCTTCCCTCAGGTTCTACTTCGGCTTCTCCTGAGTGAGATGCGCTTGAGCGCACACGCATGCGAGGTAGAAAAGAGCATGTATCAAATCTGCAACTGAATAAACAACTACAGCGACAAATACTACCACTGGTGCGCCGAGTTCAGCAGCCGCACTGGGTAGAAGATCAGGTCATGCGGCACATGTTGCAGTCTGCGTGACTATCCTTCGTCGTCGCATGGCGCTCAAGTTCGGCTTGACTTTTTGCATCATCGATCGTTGCTGTGCGGTGATATGGAAGGCTTCACTACAAGGGAGAATATGTTCTATACGCATCTAGAAAATCACAGATCTTATACAACTGTTGAATGATGATATGTAAGACCCATATTATCAGAGACTTGATGCATGCAGCAACTATGATATCTTAAACTACTCAATGATAGACTGTTAATGACTGAGATAGCACTGTATGATACGAGGGGTTCATATTAAAGATATTCCCGCATGAATGAATACTAGTTCACCATATTTTATCACTTGAACCATATCAAGCTGGCATCATATTGAAGAGTCTTTGGTAATGAAAAGCTTACATGAGATCCCATATCAGATGGCGAGAGGTACGAGGATATATGATGAAAACTATAGATGGTAATTGACAACATTCGGGTAACTACTTCTATGATGTTCCATTAATTTTAAGCGGTTCACGTCGTCTGTTTCGGTTCGATTGTGCTTGAAGCAGGTGAATTTTTTGTCGGAAACTACTTATCCGAAAGCCTACGGCGATCTATAGGACTCGAAACTCTAAATCTCAAACTAAAAGTTTACAATTTAAACTCGAAAATCGAAACTCGTAGCACATAGGGAGAAAGCGAAAAGCCTGATGTAAGCGTGAAGTTCGTA